AACCATGAGAGTGCTAGTAGCGGGGATGGAGGGGTCAACCATGAGAGTGCTAGTAGCGGGGGATGGAGGGGTCAACCATGAGAGTGCTAGTAGCGGGGGATGGAGGGGTCAACCATGAGAGTGCTAGTAGCGGGGGATGGAGGGGTCAACCCTGAGCGAGTATGCATCGATGCCACCAGCGATGTTGTAGAGCCGCGTGAAGCCCTGGTGGGCAGGTGGGGGGAGATAATACACGAGGGGTGGGGAATGAAGCTTCAGATAAAAGCCTGGGGTTGCACATAGCAGCAACAAACAGAACTCACCAAGTGACACACACAGGCATTTCGGTCAATCAAGGATGGAGGTGAAGCAGAGTGTGAGAGGAGTGATGAGAGAGCGACGAGGGAATGATGGGAGGAAGGCAGAGCACCTGAGACTTGAGCCACTCCGCCATCTGCTGCGATCGAATGCCGTGATGACACTGCAGACAGAATGGGGAGGGGGGGACACAAGACATGAGATGGAGGCACATGGCATGCGATGCGGGCAAAGGACATGATAAGGGGGCACATGAAATGAGATAAGGGCACATGAAATGAGATAAGGGCACATGAAATGAGATATGGGCACATGATATGTGAGGCGGAACACGTGGGGTGAGTGCACTGGGATGGTGGGGTGAGTGCATTGGGATGGTGGGGCGAGTGCATTGGGATGGTGGGGCGAGTGCATTGGGATGGTGGGGTGAGTGCACTGGGATGGTGGGGTGAGTGCATTGGGATGGTGGGGCGAGTGCATTGGGATGGTGGGGCGAGTGCATTGGGATGGTGGGGTGAGTGCACTGGGATGGTGGGGTGAGTGCATTGGGATGGTGGGGTGAGTGCATTGGGATGGGAGGGTGAGTGCATTGGGATGGTGGGGCGAGTGCATTGGGATGGTGGGGCGAGTGCATTGGGATGGTGGGGTGAGTGCACTGGGATGGTGGGGTGAGTGCATTGGGATGGTGGGGCGAGTGCATTGGGATGGTGGGGCGAGTGCATTGGGATGGTGGGGTGAGTGCACTGGGATGGTGGGGTGAGTGCATTGGGATGGTGGGGTGAGTGCATTGGGATGGGAGGGTGAGTGCATTGGGATGGTGGGTTGAGTGCATTGGGATGGTGGGATGAGTGCATTGGGATGGTGGGGTGTCGGTGTGTGTATTACGAGCAGGTAGGTGTCGGTGTGTGCATTACCAGCAGGTAGGTGTCGGTGTGTGGGTCCAGCGTGTCAGCGACGGTGGGCCCCCACTGCCCGAACTGGCTCAGAGGCAGCACTGTGAACCCGGGGATGGCTGCAAGCTCGCTGCCATGTGGTGGTTGAACGGGTGAGAGGTGGGTGAGAGGTGGGTTATACATGAGGAGGCAAGAGAGGAGGGACGGGGAGAGAGGGGAGAGGGGGACGAATGAGTAGGACAAATGGGGAGATAGGAAGGTGCTTGAGAGGAAAGAGGGGGTGGGCGCGGCAATGGGGGAGAGAAGGTGAGAAGCGATGAGGGGCGAAAAAGCAAGGGGATAGGCGACAAGGACTGACCTTCATAAGAATGGACAGCACATGGCATGCAACAGGAGCACATGCACGGAAACCCACCAGCAAGCATGAACCGCGCACTCACACTTCCCTGGGCTCCCGTACGTCCACCAGCTGCACGGCCCGCCTGCCTCCACTCTCCGCCTCTGCCTCTGCCAACTCTGCCTCCAGCGACCGCCCCTCGCCCTCTGCACTGCCCTCATGCGGCGCCGCCAGCACGTACTGCTCCTGCAGGCGCCGCGCAAACTCCTCCACCGTCACCTGGTCCAACACCGCCGCGTGCCTGGGGGGCGAGGGAGCGATGCACAGATGAGGAGGGGGGGCGGGGGAAGGAGGGTGGGGTGGAGTGCAACTGCAGCAGGAAGTGGCAAGAGAAGGAAAAGAGAGAGACAGAGAATGTGACTCCGCCCTCCTCCAGTACACCCCTGCGAAAGGAGAGAAGCGGGGGCGAGGGGAGAGGGGAGGGGGAGGGGAGGGAGAGGGGAGGGGGAGGGGGCCAGCGAGTGCGAGCTGGTGATTCACCATTTGAAAGTGCACTGCTCATCTGTCTCCACCGCTGCATGCCTGGGGGGGAGGGTGGGGGGAAAGCGAGCAGAAATGAGTGAGATAAGAGGTGGCACACTGCACTGGAGATTGCAAGTGCAGTAGGAAGTTGCAAGTGGAAAAGACGAGGAGGTTGTGTCTCCGCCCTCCCTGCCAAAGGAGAGGGGAGGGGGATGCGAGGAGGGAGGCAGCAGGTGCATCCGTGCCAATCACCAATGCAGCACTACAGAAACCCCAAGCAGCCTCTCTGCCATTTCAACATGCACTGCACTGCACCACGCTCACCTGTCCCCACCGAACTGCACCACGCTCACCTGTCCCCCAGCACCTGCAGCAGGTGCCAGCCGTGCTTGGTCTTGCACCGCACCACATCCCCCGGCTTCGCCTTGAAGGCCGCCTCCTCAAACTCCGGCTCCTGATGCCACGCCGTGCCATGCCACGCCACATAAGGCCAGGTCAGGCCACGTCAAGCCACGCCACGCCATGCCGTGCCATGACATGCCGTGGCCAACGGAACACCAGACCAGAGTGGTGAATTGGCAGGGTAGGTATGGCGATCCTATGCCGGTGGTGGCACATAGTGGCGAGGAGAACCAGTGTCGCATCACATGCATATCAGACTATCGAGGCAAGGAAGAGAGGTGCGACGGCAATGGCAGTGGGAGGGAGGGGAGTCAATGGTGCGACGGCACTGGCAGTGGGAGGGAGGGGAGTCAATGGTGCGACGGCAATGGCAGTGGGAGGGAGGGGAGTCAACGGTGCGACGGCAATGGCAGTGGATGGGAGGGAAGTCAATGGTGCGACGGCAATGGCAGTGGGAGGGAGGGGAGTCAATGGTGCGACGGCAATGGCAGTGGGAGGGAGGGGAGTCAATGGAGCGACGGCAATGGCAGTGGGAGGGAGGGGAGTCAATGGTGCGACGGCAATGGCAGTGGATGGGAGGGGAGTCAATGGTGCGACGGCAATGGCAGTGGGAGGGAGGGGAGTCAATGGAGCGACGGCAATGGCAGTGGGAGGGAGGGGAGTCAATGGTGCGACGGCAATGGCAGTGGATGGGAGGGAGTCAATGGTGCGACGGCAATGGCAGTGGGAGGGAGGGGAGTCAATGGTGCGACGGCAATGGCAGTGGGAGGGAGGGGAGTCAATGGTGCAACGGCAATGGCAGTGGGAGGGAGGGGAGTCAATGGTGTGATGACAATGGCAGTGGATGGGAGGGAAGTCAAGGGTGCGACGGCAATGGCAGTGAGAGCGCGGCTGGTGAGTGCACAAGTGGGGTGCGCTGCGTGGCTCACTCACAGTGGTGCCCCGTGTGATCCACCCCACCATGCCGCCCTTCTCCCTCGACGCGCACAGCGAGTGCTCCGCCGCCACGTCGCTCAGATCCACGCCCTCTGCGCGCCAGAGGTTTTGGGGTTGGGGTGGTTGGCATGGCAGGGGTGGAAGGGCTCATGGGAGGGGCGCATGCTCGTAACTTTGGAGTTGACAGGAGATTGCGTGGAGCAGAGAGAGGGTTAGGGACGAGACGGTGGGGCGCGGAGGAGAGAGGAGACGAGAGAGGGGAGATGAGAGGGGAGACAGGAGAGCAGAAATGGGAGCGGGAAGAGGGAAGAGGAGGGAGAGGAGATAGGGGAGAGGGGAGAGGTGGGAGGATAGAGGGGAGAGGAGGGCGGAGAGAGGAGAGAGGAAAGAGGAGAGAAGACAGAGGAGAGGAGAGAGAGCAGAGAGGAGAGAGGAAAGAGGAGAGATGAGAGAGGAGAGGAGAGAGAGCAGAGAGGAGAGAGAGCAGAGAGGAGAGAGGAAAGAGGAGAGATGAGAGAGGCGAGGGGAGAGCGGGGAGAGGGAGGGCGCAGAGTAAGAAGCATGCGGGCGAGCAAAGAGCTGTTGGCATCAAGGACGCGCGTGCGACGACTCGTCAGACCCATGGCGAGCTGCACGAACCCCCGTGGATGCCCCACCTCGTGCAAGCGCGCATGACCTCGCCACCTGCTCGGCCAACTTGGCCGCCCACCCCCACCCCTCATCCCGCTCCCCACCTCACCCCCCTCCTCCCCACCCCCCCTCACCGCTGATGATGCGGCGCTGCAGCTCCAGCAGCAGCTGCAGCTGGTCCGCGCCCACCACCACGTGCTGCACCAGCACCTCGCGATCCCACTCCTCCTCCGCCCACCGCGCCCCCGCCCCTCCGCCGCCCGCCGCTGCGCTCGCCGCCATGAGCCGTCGCCCCGCAGAGGCGGAGAGCGGCGGGACGGCGGCGACAGCTGCGATGGGGATGCGAGGCGCGCGGAATGAAAGACGCGGGGAGGCGGAGGGGGCACGCGGGAGGGAGGCGGAGAGCGGAGGGAGGTACGCGAGGGAATGGAGGGGGCGCGGCAGGGAGAGGCGCGACGAGCAGCGGCGGGGACAATGATGCGCGGCGAGACGAGCAGCGGGGAGGACGGGAAGCTTGCGCGCGATCGACGCCATTGGCGCGAGGGCGAAGGGGGAGAGGCAGAGGAGCGGAATGAAGGCGAGGTGGCCTAGTACGCTGTGTGTGAGGTGGTGCCTCTGGCAGTGTGCGTGATTCCGCTTCAAGGTGGTGTATTGTGAACCAATTCAGAGGTTCCATCGTCCCTTGAGGTCTGTACCGGGTGCGCACTGCGGGCCGATTACACGAGTGACTTAGGCCAATCGAGGCAAGGTGTCGGAAAGTGAAACCGAACCGTGACGAACCACACTAAACCTTATTTGACTAGCGGCGTGAAAAGTGAGTCACGGTTCATGCGAACGCGTCACGATGAATGTTACCCGCGTGAGTTTCGAAACTCGGTCGAAACCGCGAAACCACGCTTCACGCCCTCAGCGTCACAGGGAAATGTCACAGGCGAGAGGGGGTCGGTTTCAGGCAGCGATTCAAAGTCAAATTAGGTCACGCAATCGGCCGGGGCGTGACGAGCTGCTGTCGCACGCCAGCATCCATGTTGCTGATTTAGTTGCATACTTCTTAACGGGTGACGTCGATTGTCGCTCCCGAGCAGTGGCGCGTCGGTGGGCCGGGTTTATCACGCCAGCAGCGGGCCGTAGTTGATGCAAAAAGTGGCAGCTGCCTCGCGTGCCGCCACTCGCCCCGCCCTAGTAGAGAGCACAGCGATCTTGTCGCCACGATTATCGCCGAGCGCTGTGCGATAGAGAGCACAGCGAGCGACGCCGCGTCAGGGCAGGCGATCCCCGGACGACAGGCGCGAGTGGAGGAGGGCGACAGCAGCAAGGGAGCGACGAGGCCATCTGTGCGAGGGAGAAGGATTGCCGGCCCGCCTTCGTCCTCGTGAGTCACACCTCGCCCACTTCCCCCCGCCCGTTGCGCCCGTTGCGCCCGTTGCCTATCTTCACTTTCGTCGCTTTCACTTGCCAATTGATCCATCCCGGTGCGCGCCCCTTGGCGCCATGCTCGCCATCACGGTTGTCCGCCACTGTGCGCGCCTCCCTTGCGCCGTGCGCCATTGCAGCGAGGTGACTTTTTAGTCGACTCATAAGTTGACCGGCGCTGTCTCCTCCGAGTGTGTGCTTGCCTTGCTCAACCTCCCGCCATTCCATTCACCGGATCAATGCCCTCTATCTGCATTCCCGCGCTATCCTCCGTGCCGTTCCCTCTGTGCCGTTCCCTCTGTGCCGTTCCCTCTGTGCTCGTCTGCAGCCACCAGAGTGAGCGGCAGGGCGGCATGGACACAGGCGCAGGCGGCACCATCAGCGGGCCCCTCGCCGCCTCGGGTGCGTGGGTCATCCCTCCCAGCCGCTCCATGCTTGCTCCCTGCACCACACGCCTTCTCGTCCACTCGTGCTGCCTTCAAGTCCCTGTGCCGGTGCCACCTTTCCTTCCCTTCCTTCCTTCCGTGCCTTCCCTTCCTTCCGTGCCTTCCCTTCCTTCCGTGCCTTCCCTTCCTTCCGTGCCTTGCCTGCCTTTTAACCCTTGCATCATGATAATCGCTACTCCTTTCCTTCCTACTTCTTCCTTTCAAGCTGCCACCCTCACTCCCCTCTCTTCCTTCTCCCCTTTCCTCCCGCTTCACACATAATTCCCCCCCCCCAAAGGCGGCCCTGACGCCAGCAGCACGTACGGCGGGCTGGACCCCTCGGACGTGGAGCTGTCCCCAGCAGTCACCACCGTCGCCTTCTCGCCCGCACCGCTGCCACCGCTGCGACTGCCCGTGAAGGCAGGCCCGGGGGACAGCCCCGAGCGGGGCAAGTGGGTGCTGGCGTTCCAAGACGAGGCCAGCTGGCGGGGCGCATGGGGGGCGTGCGAGCGGAAGATTGGCGAGCAGTGCGAGGTGAGAGGGAGCGCATCACTTGGGAGCTTGCGCCATATGTAGCAGCGGGTTTGTTGTAAACACTGTTGTTTAGAAGGAGATAGGCGAGCAGTGCGTGCGAGGTGAGAGGGAGAGATGCGAGCAGTGCGAGGTCGGCATGGTAGAGAGGCCATGAGGACCCATTTGTTCTTGTGTGGCTGCAATCGTCTAGTAAGACGTTATTCAACCTGACCCTGTTTGTTAAAACCTCTGCCAGGTGACGCGAGGTCCGAGAATGATGCATTGGCCGGTTCAGGGCCGCCACGCGAACGCATGCGGTGGGAAGAACCCCGCTATACCAAAATAGTTGGTCACTGCCTCCTTTTTCTCAAGAACGTGCCTTCAAGTTCCTTCCGCTACCCCACCCCACACCCCCCACCCCCCCTGTACCTCCCAGGTGGGGGCGCGCATGGGGTGCTCGGTGCGCGCCACCACGCGGTGCCAGGAGGCGCTGCCGTGGGGGCTGAGGGGGGCGGGCGGGGGATTCCTGGGGGTGATGGAGCTGCTGGGCGTGGGGGGCGGGGGGGGGAGGGGCGGGGAGGAGGAGGAGAAGGAGAGGGAGGCGTGCGAGGAGCGCGAGATGATGGCGTGCCTGGCGACAGCACAGGTGACTGGAATGGCATGGCATGGCATGGCATGGCACGGCATGGCATCGCATGGAAGGGCATGGCATGGCACGGCATGGCATGGTATGGCACGGCATGGCATGGCATGGCATGGCATGGCATAACGCACCTTCATGACTGGCTCGGCTGGTCCGTGTCCGCTTCATCTCTACCGTCCGAGTTTCTTCTATATCGGCTGCATGTCTTGCCATCTCTCATCATCCCCTCCCCTGCAACCCTCTGCACCGCGCCTTTTCTCTCTAGGCCCTCCTACCTGATCCCCCATAACCTCCCTTCTTGCCTTCACCCTCTTCTTTTCACCTCCATCTCCACACTTACTGTCTCCCTTCAGCTCATGCCCCCATACCCCCATGCCCCGTTGACCCCTTGCCCGGCGTCCCTCCTGGCCCCATGCATGCGTGCAGGACGCCTGCAGGGAGCACGCGCAGCAGCAGTGCGCCACTGCCTTCTCCCAGGCGCTCATTGCGCGCTCCCTCACCTCCATTCCGCTGCCCCTCCTCGACCGCCGTGCCCAGCGGGCTCTCCTGCGTGCCGCACTGCACCGCCGCCAGACTGCCGCTGCGGCGGAGGGCTCGGGACGAGGGGGCAGCAGAGGGGGAGGGCCAGGCGGGGGAGGCGGAGCAGCGGGCGCAGGGGGTGCGGATGTGGAGAGGAGCCCGGGGGCAAAGCTGGCTCAGCAGGCAGCGGCGGCGGGGCTGGTGGCAGGGGGCAGAGGGGGTGGGGGGTTGGGGGGGCGGTGGGGGGGAGGAAGAGGGGGAGGGGCAGTCGAACGTGGTGAGCGCGAGGGGGCTGCCTCGGGAGGGCGGGGCGGCAGGCGTGGCGTGGAGAAGTGGGTTGTCGTATCTGGAGACCCCGAGAGCGGGCAAGGAGGAGGTGGGGGGGATGGGGGGCAGTGGGGAGGGGTGGGAGGGCGGACTGGTGAAACCAAAAGCTGGGAGGAGAAGGGAGGTGGGGAATGGGGAGGTGGGGAATGGGGAGGTGAAAGGGGGAGGGGATGGGAGAGCGGTTAGGGAGAAGGATGGTGAGAGTGGTGGTGGCAGGGGCAGCAGTGCCAGGCACACAGCAGCTGGTGGCGCTGAGTCTGGCAGCTGCAGTGGGGACACGTGGGACCCTAAACCCTGGACTGCTCAGGGGCAAGCACTGCCTGCAGTGGGAAGCAGGGAAGTGAGCGGCATGCTGCGTGCCTTGCAACACGCGGCAGACGCTCTCAAGAGCAAAGTTACGCAAGGTGCAGGCACGGACATCTCAAGGCGGTGAGCTGGCCGTATGATACGAGAGGAGAGGACAATTCTGTAGTTTTTGAAGGGGTAGTTACATTTGACCCATCAGTTTGTTGAAATGGAAGAATGTGTTAACGTAGAAACGAATGATTACTAGAGGTGGAAACCTAGAACAAATACTAGTTGGTTGTACTCACTAGAAGCATACCTCAGTCTAGCCTATAACTTCTACATAGATAATATGTATAAGTTGACACACCCCCTAGGCTAGACAAGGGGTGAAACTAAACAAGAAGCAAACAGCTCAGGGCGGCACTACTAGTCCAACCACTGAGGCAGGGGTCTGGAGACCAGTCAGCAAGAATACAACCAAAACTGAAGCAAGCCAGGGTGGCACTACTAGTCCAGCCACTGGAGGTAAGGCCACAAGGCCAGTCTGACAAGCATATATAATAGAGAGTACACAATCAGGATCCTAACAGGGGAGCAGCTATAGGAACAAGACCAAGCTGTACACAGTGCCGCTGATGATCTTTAGGCGCAAGCGCCTTAGTAAAGATATCAGCTGTGTTGGCACCTGAGGCCAAGTGAACTACGCGGGCCTGGCGGCGCTGCTGTAGCTCGCGCAGGAGGAAGTACCGCAGCTGGATATGCTTCGCTCTGCCCTCAAGCCGAGGCTCCTGACACAGGAGTATCATGGCCCTGTTGTCAGCGTACAGGACCGGGGCAGAGCTAGGCCGCTCACCTAAGTCTGTGAGCAAGAAGGTCAGCCAGCGGAGCTCCTGTGCCGCCATGGCACCAGCGTAGATCTCAGCCTCACAGCTAGACTGAGCCACAGACGACGAGCGAGTGGATCTCCAAGAGATAGCACCCGAACCAAGGCTGAAACAGTAGCCCTGCGACGACCTGAGCGTCTCAGCGTCGTCTGCCCAAGAAGCGTCTGTGTGCCCAGTAAGGACCACTGGCCTGCGTCCTCCTAGCACTAACCCCATGCCTGATGTACTAGCAAGATAACGCAAAACCCTCTTAGCGGCAGACCAGTGCTGAGGTCGGTGTCTGCCTGTAGCCACAAAGCGAGCCAGGATGCTGAGAGGGTATGCGAGATCTGGGCGAGTGCAAGTCATCAGGTACATGAGGCAACCCACCAGCTCTGCGTAGGGGCCACTGGGCTCTACTGGCTCCTCAGGAACGGGAGCAGAGAGCCCATGGTCTACGGGTAGAGGTGTGGGCTGTGCGGAGGAGAACTGAAGACCGAACCTCTGAAGGACCTGACGCACCAAGTGTGACTGGGTCAGAGTGATGGTGCGTGCTGCTCTGTCCCTAGAGATCTGCAGGCCAAGATAGCGACGCAGCTCTCCAAGGTCAGTGCAGGTGTGTCTCTTCAGCAGCTCAGCCTTCACAGAGGCCAGTGCGTCCCTGTCAGGAGTAGCGAAGACCAGGTCGTCTACGTAGACAAGGATGTAGAACGGAGTCTGGCCGGAACGCACAAACAGTGAAGGGTCAGCAGAGGACGGAAAGAACTGCAGGTCTGCTAACGTGGCACGTAGCGTGTCGTGCCACTCGCGGGGAGCCTGACGCAGGCCGTAGACCGGGCGCCTGAGAAGCCACTGGGTCCCAGGAGGGAAGGTACCAGTGAAGCCCTGTGGTCGGCGCAGGTAGACCTGCTCGTGTAGGCTGCCCTGAAGAAAGGCAGTAGAGAAGTCGAGGGAGTGAAGCTCGTAGTCACGCTGTGCTGCTACGTGTAGCAGCGCCCGAAGAGTGGTCATCTTCGGGGTCGGGGCGAAGGTCTGGAAGAAGTCAACCCCCTCGCGCTGACTGAAACCTCTGGCCACGTAGCGCGCCTTGAAGACAGGCGGCTCTCCAGGGGGGCGCTTCACCTTGAAGAGCCACCGACCATCGACTACGTTCACCCCAGGCGGGGGAACTGCGTCAACGTAAGTGCCGGTGGATCTCCAAGATGCCATCTCCTGCTCCATGGCAGCTATCCACTGAGAGGCCCAAGGTCCCGAGGTGGCCTCAGCGTAGGTGCGAGGGGTCGGGATGTCGAAGGCGTCTGGGTCACCCTCAGGGACTAACAGCATGGAGCAGAGATGGGGAGCAGCCTCGGAAAGGAAAGCCAGCTCGTACTGCCTGTCCTCTAGGACGTCACTGCCAAGGGCAGGAGCACCCCCGACGGACAGAGGACGGGCAGGGTCAGAGACCAGAGCGGTAGCGTAGTCAAGGCGGCGGGTAGAAGCGAAGTCAGCGACAGCAGCGACAAGCGCGTCAAGGCGCGAGACAGGAACAGCAGGGTCGGTAACAAGAGAGGCAAGGACCCGAGGGACAAGGGGACGAGCAGCACAGAGGTAGTCAGAGAACGGAGGAGGTGCAACAGCAAGGGACGAGGGAGGAGGGGACGGGAGGAGGGGAGGACGAGACGAGTGGGAACGGAGCAACATAGGGTGGGTGGGCAGGACAGGAGAGACGGGACGAGCACGGGAGGGACGGCGAGCCCAAACGTGAGACGGAGGGGTAGGGTCAGGGGACAGCGGAGGAGACACAGGAGGGGAACGAGGAGGAAGATGGGCCGGAGATGAGTCTGGCGGCGGGAACACAGGACCGTAGACAGGGAGGTCAGGAGGCGGTGGGGGAGACACCGGCGCGCGGTCCGGGGAGGGAAGGCCGAGCAGGCGGAGAGCGGAAACCGGCGGCGACGGCTGCTGCGGCGGCGACGACGGCTGGGCCGGAACTCTCGGACCAGCAGAGGCAGAACGACCGTCGGCAGAACACTCAACAGCAGCACCCCCAGAACCAACACCCCCAGAGCGAGAACCCCCTCCAACACCAGCGGCACCCCCAGAAGCCGCAGGACGAATACCCTCCTCCACACCAGCACCCCCAGGGGCCGAGAGCAGCGGCGGCAGTGGCGGCAACGGCTGCGGCGGCGGCGACAGCGGCGACGGCTGCGGCAGCGACAGCGGCGGCGGCGGCGACGACAGCGGCGACGGCTGCGGCGGCGACGGCGACGGCGGCGGCAGCGGGGTCGGCGACTGCGACAGTGGGGGCGGAGGCACCGGGGAAGGGGGACGCGGCAAGGACGGACCGGGGGTACCACCAGAGTCAGCAGACTCCTCAACGGGGACAACCGACGGGAGGGGAGTGACGTGGGAGACACCAGACGGGGCAGGACGAGGCGGGAGAGGGGCAGGGGCTACCGGGGGAGAGGGAGCAAGGAAAAGGGGGGGGGCAACTGGGAGACCTCGGTGAGGGAAGCGGCGGTAGAAGGAGACGGACTCATCAAAGGTGACGTCACGAGAGTGGAGGAAGCGGTGAGACGGCGGGTGGTAGAAAAGCCAGTCAGACGAGTCCAGGGGGAAACCGAGGACGACACAGGGGACAGTGCGGGCAGTGAGCTTGTCCGTGCCAGAGGCACGAACGTGAGCAAGGCAGCCCCAGACGTGGAACGCAGACGCGTCACTGGGGGACCCGGTCCAAAGGAGGGTCGGCGAAACCTGCGGCCGCTGGGAGCGTGGCCACAGGTTAAGCTGGTGAGCCGCGTAGCGAACAGCGAACGGCCACAGAAAATGGGGGGCATCGGCATGGATCATGGAGGTACGGGCGACCTCCATGACCAAGCCGATGCGGCGCTCAGCAACCCCATTCTGCTGTGGCGAGTCCGGCAACGTGTACGACTGGGTGATGCCCTCCGCACGACAGAACTGTCCAAGCCGACCAGAGGCGAACTCGCCGCCACGGTCGGAGTGGAGACACAACACGGGGAGACCGCGGTGGAGACGCGCAGCCACAACCCACGGGAGAAGAACGTCGGGCACGTCGGCCTTCCGCTCCAGGGGAAACACCGTGGTGTAGCGCGTGTAGTCGTCGACAAGCACAAGGAAGTAGCGCTCACCGCGCGGTCCGGGGACGGGGGCAGGGCCCCAAACGTCCAAGTGCAGGGTCTGAAGGGGGGCAGTAGCAGGACGCAGCGAGGAGGAGTGAGGAGCACGGCGGAGCCGACCCTCGACGCAAGGCGTGCACGGTGGCGCAGTCGAGGGAGGAAGGGCAGGGAGCGACGCGGGGAGACCTAAGACAAGACCGTGCTGGGACATGTGACGCAGACGCGGGAGAGCAGGGTGACCTAAGCGGTGGTGCCAGAGAAGGGAGGGGTGAGTGAGGGACCGACACGAGCAAGCTGCAGCGACCTGGGAGGACGCACCAACCGGGGGGGAAGCGGTGTGTAGGGTAAACAGACCGGACACCGGGTCCCGGGGGAACGTCGCAAGGGGGGAACCTGAGACAGCCTCAGAACAGACAGCGAACCGCTCGTGCCCGGGGAACGTGGTGGTGACGCCGAGGTCCTGAAGACAGCCGACACCAACCAGGTTCCTGGAGAACGAGGGAACGTGGAGGCCAGTAAGGGAGCCCGAGGGAACTGCCGGACAGGGAAGGGACGTAGAACTGCGCGCGACGACCGGACCCGCAGAGGGGTCAGCGAGAGAGACAACAGCAGGTGCAGCAAGCGGCGTGAGCGTGGAACGGTCGCGGAAGAAGCAGGCAGAAGCACCAGAGTCGAGAGTGAAGGACAGCGACGCAGTGGCGGAGGCCGGGGACGGAGCCGGTGCAGCGACTAGACTAGGCAACCTAGGCAGTCCTACGCCTGTCGCAGCAGGGGAAGCTAAGCTACACAAGGGTGAAACACCTAAACTAGAGTACACAGGGTAGTAAGATCCAGCAACACTAGAAGCGTCAGCATACAAAGCATGCAAAGCAGCACCTATCTGATCCATGTCTAACTCAAAGATCGGCACGCCCTGGCGGAGCAGGCTGTGCCAGTCAGGGAGGTCCGGGGCCGGGCCAAAGCGACGACGAAAAAGATCGTCGAGGCGGCGGAAACAGCGGGCGGTCGGGTGCGGGCGGCGGCACAGAGTGCCGCGGAGAGGCCCGGTCTGAAGCTGGTACTGGCAGGTCACAGCACTGGAGCCGCTGGTAGACGCCAAGCTGCGCGGGCCGCCACCACGGCCACCGCCTCCGGAGGTGCCGGGCCAACCAGGCGGGAGACGAGCCCACGGCGGCGGCGGGTGCTGCTGGGACGGCGGCTGCGGCTGGGGCTGGTCCTGCTGCTGCTGGGGCTGCTGCTCCTGCCCACCGGTGGTAGTCCCCTCAGGCGGACTACCGTCACCACCACCACGACCACTACCACCTGCGTCACCAC